GTACTCAGACAAATCTGGCACTAATTTGCCAACACCGTAGGGTTGGAGGATTTATTTATCCTGGCGCGCGGAACGAGGGACTGTATGTGTATTACAAAGCAGGTCTAACCACTGCTTTTTTAGCGCTCCCTATAGTAATTTTCTCCTTTTCTATTACAATTTATTTCTTTAGCCCGCCCTATTTGTTTGCTTATTTGTTTGCCTGTTTATTTTCCTATTTACCTATGCCCGAAGATCATAGAGAAAAGTCGAAAGTCATCACCACCCAATAATTCACCATTACAAATGAGACCGGAAATTTTATGTAACCAGAAAACGCAAACAACACCGTAGAAAAAACAGGAGGAGAACAGAGAGAGAAGGAGAAAGAGAGACGGAAGAGAATAGAAAGAAAGGATTCAATAAAGAGAAACTAGGATAAAAATAACCATACGATTTCTAGTGATGCCTAATAAAAGCATCCTGTAGGCATCATACATATCACATACAGTTGTGGTTCTTTTTCCTAAGTTTCGTGAAAGATTACCAAAGGTTCTCACCAATTTTCTTTCTGCATCTCACGCTTATAGTAAGAACATTTCCAAAAACGCTTATCTACCCACTCTACCTTAAAGTAAACATTAAATGATAATAATAAATAGATAAATAGACTGATAAATAGACTTCTCTCTAAAGGACGTACAAAGTCCAATAAACCCATAAGGGACGCGCGCCGTTTGGTGTGACTCTCCGGAGTGAACACGAACAATTCTTCGTCGGCAGCGAAGTTTCCGGTTTTTTGAAAGTAAAACACTCTTTTTCCTTAACTAGAGAGCTTTAAAGGTTGTAAACAGGTTAAAAATGTAGAAAACACTTTGTTCTGTAGGTCTAAGGGTATGAATGAAATGTACGCTACCAATTACTGCGTGTTACTGTAGCCCACTGTATTTCGGTGTTTTTATATTTGCGTAATTCCATACAATGACCATAGTGACAAGAATGAAGTAACATTTAATTGTGGAGGGTGTGGCGCAGTGGTCAGAGGCGTCCTGCAAAACACACGTGGAATCGATCCCCGCGCCCATGGCCCACTAGGCCTTCCATCTCTCCGGGTTCGGCAAATTGGTGCCAGACCTTTCTGGGAGGATAACGGCACTGGCTCGATACATCGGTAGGTCACCGCGAGTCATTGTGAAGGCCAGATATGCATTGAATCACCTCTAAACGCTGCTCAATGAAGTTGAATGCATGGCGCATCCCTTGATTAACGCCAAGAGCTTTCATCTCTTCAACATTTAATTGTCAGTGAAAGTGCCGGTCAATAAACTTTTCCAAAAGGTTTCTTTGTAAATTATGAAGTACAAGGAGCATTCGTCTGCTCTCATGCATACCATTTTAATCTGCTTTCTATTTGGCAAGAAATGAATATAAACATCTTAAAAACCGACTTCCATTAAACCTCGGTAGGAACAATCAGTAATTTCCTATATGATTGAGCTGACAGGGGATTGGTGTACAAAAAAGAAGGCAAAGGTGCTGAAACATTAGCCGATTAAAAGCTCTATGCCACTCTCGTGTCAGCTCAACCACACAGAAATTTTAAAAACCTATACATGGATTGAATCGAATGCCTATGACTCTTCTGAGATCAAATTGCTGGTCTCATTATTTCTTTAGGACATTTTGCAATTGAAATTCCCAAGTAGCTTCTGCTAGGGATTGTAGGACGAGTCGTATTTCTTTCATACTTTCAAGAATTACCTAGTGAAAGCAGTTTGTTTTCACTTTTTCGCCAATAGCTTTTCGCGTAGAACGGATTGAAAGGACGGAATTTCGAAAAAAATCTAACGGATTGGGAAATGTGAATAAGTTATTGTAGTAATTAGATAAAAGGTATGAATGTGTCGCATATCTGATTTCTGTATCCGATCCGAAGGTGCGTGGCGCAGTGGTCGGAGGCGCCTTACAACACACGAGTGCAATCGATCTCAGCGCCCATGGTTCACCAAGCCTTCTATCCCTCCGGGGTCGGCAAATTGGTGCTACACTTCTCTGGAGCATAGCAGCATGGCTCGGTCCATTAGTAGGCCACCGCGAGTCATTGTAAAACCCAGATATGCTTTCTATCAACTCCAAACGATGCTTAATGAAGTCGAATGCATGACGCATCCTCCAGGGATTGATCAACGCTGACAGCTTTATCCTTTACCTTTTTTATTATAATAATTAGGTAAAAGATGTGAATTTGTCCTAGATTTAGTTTCTGTATCCGATCCGAAACTCGTGGTTTAAAAAAAACTTTCAAAAAGCTCGCTAAAGGACAACGAATTCAACAACTATAATATATTGCCGGCGAGCCAACAAGAGTTTATTAATAAATATAGCACTAATTTTAGAATTGATAACGACGTCTCGTTAGATATCGCTGCTGTAAAACATCCGCAACGATCATAAAAAAGGACAAAGCTTTCAGCGTTAATCAACCCCTGAGTGATGGGACATGCATTCGACTTCATTAAGCGTCGTTTAGAGGTGATTGAATGCATATCTGGCTTTTACAGTGATTCACGGTGGCCTACTGATGCATAGAGCCAGTGCTGCTACCCTCTGAAACAAGTCTGGTACTAATTTGCCAAACCCTGAGGGATGGAAGCCTTTTTGAGCCACGAGCGCCGAGATCAATCCCATGCATAAGTCGCAGGGCGCCTCTGAGCACTGCCCACACGCGCCCTTGAACGCCCATACTAATATAGTATACTAATACTATAATATATGGCTTATTGAATCAATCATGTGATATCTTCATAAGCTCATGAAATAAAGTCTTAAATATAAGTTTCCAATCCATGGCAAACAAAATTAATCGCCTGCTCAAGCACCGCATGGGATCACTAGTTTCCACCTCTGATCAAAGAAAGGATCAGTCCTAATTTATCACTGCTGAAAAATCATATCCAGCTTAAACCAATATCCGACATTGTTCGCAAGCATTTCAGAGCTTTTAGAGCACAGTATTTTTGCAGAAATTGGAAAATCTGAAGAGAAACTGTCGAAGCTTTTCGATTAGACGATCCGGTATTGTCGTCAGATGTCGCCAGATATCGTCAGATTTACATTGAGCACATTTTCACATTACACGGATTACATATATGTGTTGAAACACTAAGAGCATCGGCGAAATTCGTAGATCGATTGGAGGTGTTATTGGGGAAGAAAGCAGGAGGTTTCGCTCGAGTGCATGGAAAAGAAAGAACTGCTACATGAAAAGAACAACCTGGGAAAACGAGCTCATTCCTTCATTTAATACTCTCGTATATTGTAAAACTCCTATTCAAAGATTAATCGAAGTAGAAAAATTGTCAAGACGTTTAATCAACTTCAATGAAGCCAGATTATAGCGAAGAATTTAAATCCGTTATTCCGAAATTGGGGCGCGTGTGGCGCAGTGGTCGGAGGCGCCCTGTAGCACATGCGTGGTCCCGCGCCCATTGCCCACTAAGCCCTCCATCCTTCCGGGGTCGGCAAATTGGTACCAGACTTGTCTGGAAGGGTAGCAAGACTGGCTCGAAACATTGGTAGGCCACAGCGAGTCATGGTAAAGGCCAAATATGCATCCAATCACCTCCAAACGATGCTTAATGAAGTCGAATGCATGGCGCATCCTTCAGGGATTGATCAACACCGAGAATTCTTTATAATTTTATTCTGCAGTCACCTTGGTGAAGCGATCTACAAACTCGTAAACTGGTGGAGCGTGGTTTTCTTCCTTTCCTTTCTCTTCAATGGAGTTTTCTTTGCAAGAAATGATGCTCTTCTTACTGTGTTTTGCAGCTCCATCTGTTCACTAGTTTTTTCTGCTCCCAATCAAACAATTTATCAATGTCTAAGGTAAAACCGCTAAGTGGATTCCTATCCGGTTTTGTTATCCAGTCCGTATAAGCTCGTATGTCATCTTAGACCATTATCCCGTCTTTCTCTATATCCTCCGTAATCCCACTGGCAAAAAGCTCTTCTCTTCGCCAATGTTGTTTTTCCTCCTCTCAATTGTTTTTCTTAAGCTAGAGGCTTTAAACACACAAAATTCATGATCTTCGGCTGTTCTTCATTACTTCACTTTTCTCCAGCAAACACCTTCTCTCTTAGGGCCTTAAGTCCTCAATTTACTGCTGTTTGTATTCTTTCTTTGATGAGCTTACACGAGGTTGATAATGATGCTTATTTTCGGCTAACGTTTCGACGTCTTCGTCTTCCTCAGAGCCGATGATCCGAGTCGATGGTCCTCGCTTGTTAAAGAAAGAATACAGATTGATTAGTGATACCAAGGTTCAAGGAAAGTCGGTTCCGAAATATTACTGCTGTTTATTTATTTTACCGAAAAAATCACCTGCCAACCTGCACAGACAGTGTTGGAACGCATTCAGACTCCGAGGACTGATCTAACATCCTCATAGGTTCGTATGTTTCTGAAAGGTGCTTTTAAATAGGTGCCAGATCACTGAAGATCAGTCTAATAGATTGTTTTTCGGATATAAAAGTGTAATGGTAGCATCAATGAATTGTAGATGGAAACGATTTTAGGAATTCGGAATGGACCTCGTGGACGACGCCATGTTCTAAGCAGACCACCACCTTGGCCGACGGTTGCGCGGGAATGAAACTAGTGCGAATTACGCTAGAGGCCAGCACCATCAGTGAAGACGCGCCATCCAGGTATCCCAGTGAGTGAAATGTTGCATCGTATTTCGACAAAGCAGACTTTTGTCTTTCTTTCATTTGATGTTATTCGTAGAAGAAATGTGATTAAGTACAGGTATGTACAAATACAACAACAAACATCTATCGTTTAGAAACAGACATATCACAAATGTAACCGAGCGTATGACAGTCGAATACTGTCCTCCCAACGGTATCGTGGGAGAGTCGTGTCCGTCCGGTCAAGTTTCCCAACGCCGCGACGGCCGGTGGCGGCGGGTCGCCCACATGAGGGCGGAGCCGGACGGCCGCAGTCGGGCCGGTGCGCGATGGGCAACCGCTCGTCCAGTCACCATCCACCGCCGCTGGCCTGGTCCCAGGGCCAGTATCCGGCCTATGCAGCGCCTTCTGGCGCCTATGACGCTAAACGGGCTCACAATGGACCTGCTTACACTGAGCCCTATATGCCGCATCCGATTCTCTGTCGTTCAATGATAAGCCTGAACGCTGACTCCGGTTATATGACAAGTCCAAGTGATTCAGAACGAATGCGATTATCGAAGGGATCACGAATGTCGCTGAATCACCTGGATTTCGTCGAACAGCAACGACCACTACTATTTCCCCCGGATTTGAAGACGATCAAGAAACTGGAGAAAATGGAGAAAAAGCAACAGAAGCTGATGAAAAAGTACGGTGGCCGAGCAATTGCGCCACCACCACCACCGGCAATTTTCTTCCAATCACAAATGTTGCCACCACCACCACCGATTTACTCAAGGGCGATGTCTTTTGACGATCTACACAGGTATTTTCTTCTCTTCATGTTCTTATGCCGTGTTTAAAACCGATGGGATCGTTCGTTTCATTCGATCGTTTCACCAGTGGAAGCTTGAAAATTCGATAGAATAGTGTTTTTATGATATGAAAAAATTCTAGTAACCTCTCTTATCAATTAAGAACCAGTTGTACTGGCAAGCCTAGTAAATTCTTATCCCAAATTCCTAACGCCAATAAAGCCCTCGAGTTTTTTTCAACTATGGAGCTATATCTTTATCCCTTAGCATCATTTTATGTGGGAGCGTTTTTCTTCTTTCTTCTATTTCCGTGATGCTGTTTATCTTCGTCAAGAATCTCACATCTCTATGACGCCATCTTGTCACCAGTTTCTTATCGTTCATCGTTAAATCTCCTTTTTCCGTTGCCGACATCTTTCGATTCGTACAGTTATCGCTAATCATCATTCTTGATGAGTTTCCGTAACGGAGGAACCAATATGACTACCAAACACCTAGCCACTTGTTTGGTTCATTTTCACAAATCGCTCAGTTCCTATATTGCTGGAATTTTGCTCTTTGTGAAAGACTTCTTCTCATAGAAGTCCTAACGAGAAGTTTTGTCAGCACGCGCTTCGTAGCACCGAGGTCGTGGTAGCTCATTGGCGACCTCGGCTTTCTCCTACGCAACTGGATTTCTTCCACCGATGGGGTAGTTATCCATGTCGTAGATTAAATTTGTTAAGTACTCTTCTTTCTGCGTTCTGTTTCCTATATGTTTTTTTTCACTAAACAATGGACTTTTATACTTTGTGACGTCATAAAACACTACATATGTCGACTTGATCAATTGAGGTTTTTGGAGGTTTCGAACTGTTTCCATAGTGTTACTCTTTTAAATGAAATTATAATATCTAAGTGATAGAGCCCTTTTAAAGTGTAGATGGATTGTTCAAAGCTTTGTAAATTCTAAAAGTCGTTCATCATTAGCAAAAATGTTTGGACCTCCTTTTTTCAACTTAAACTTTAGCTATTCTGGTTTTCTTTACTCCTAACATTCCTATCGTATTCCTTCCATCTTTCCAACGAAGTCCTAATTTTATACTTGTTCACTCACGTTATCAATCAGTCTATTGATTCGATATGCCTATAAATCTGCAAAATCGTTGTCAGCATTGTTACGATTGCCTTGTTATAGACTTCAATCGTACAGTTCTGCGTTTGTCAACGAAAGAACCTTGTCTGACCCTGCACTCAACCACCTGAGGTTTCCTCTCTTTTATTTTTTGTGCCTGACCCGCGATGTGACCGACACAATGGGGCCAGTGACCTTGGCAGCTGTGCCGTAGCCTTTCTGAGCCAACCGCCGTCCACCACCTTACCCCTATACTTTTTCGTAGACGTCACATTGTCTCATTAATTGTAAAGTAATTCTATTCACTCAGGCAATTCGCAACGTTTTATAAAGTTTTATAATAAACTACAGTCCAAGAACCCAACTCTGTGTCATATTTGAAAATATGTTGTGTTTCTAGTAGTACCTGGAAAGCTCTTCTCGAACGACGTCATAAATGTCGGGTGTTTACAGTATTAGTTTAGCACAATTCCTTAAAGATAGCAGTGTTTATTTAGGATATTGCAGATAAGGAGGTGATAATGATCGGTTCCTTTTCTACTGGGCTGAGGATCGTGGAAAAGTTTTGGAGGATAAAGAATATAGCGTCCGACATTGACGAACACATTAGGAACGCGCCATGAATTCGACTCCATTCGTAGTAGCGTAGAGGCGATTGAAGGCATATTTGGTTTGTACAGTGATATGCGGGAGCCTGCCGACATATGTTTATGACCCAGATAAGTCTGGTACCAATTTGTTGATCCAGAGGAATGGAGGGCTTAGTGCTCTATGGACGTGAGATCAAACCAACTACCACATGTGTATTGAGGAGCACCTCAAACCAATGCGCTACATGCGCTGCCCTTTCTGCTTAGATGAAAAAAAAAAGAATTAGCGATTGAAAACAATAACGCAGTATTTATTTGACGAACTCACATTTCGCTTTCAAATGCTAAATTCTCATAATACCGACGTTCACATTAACGGTTTTTTATGGGTGAATAGTCGTTCAGACGGCTTTTTTCTGCGCCAGTTAACGACGGCCGTAAACCCCTTAACACGACACTAAGTACCTTCTGGGTCAACGAAACTGTACAATCTTGCAATAGATGAGTGATTTCATTTTAGAAATGAACTATTTAGAAATTTTAGATCCCCACAACTTTCTATAATCATAATTTTTTAGCCTGAAGCCTCATGCGTTCCATATTTTCTTCAGCATAAACCAACCAACGGCCGTAGTAGCTACGTTGTTTTTCTATTTTCAAACCGTCAAGTTCATTCTAGTGAAGCCTGAGTGAGTTTCATGCAGTTCATCTGAATCGTCGACATCATCCTCATCGTCAGCTAACGACATTGACAATCTAAAAGGATTTCCTAATAGAATGCTTTACGAGGACCCGATATATCTGGTTGTATAAGCCCCATTTGGCCTAAATACGGAAGAGCCTCTGATCCATACAAATGGCCGACCTTTGATGGAAATGAGCGTCATTGTTTTTATAGGGCAACGATTATTTTTCTAGAGCGCGATATTTAACACTGAAGACTGTGTGAACCGTATTTGTCTCACCTACGGTTTTGTGTTGTTTTTACGTGTACAACGAGAAGATATCCCTCCTATGTTCTTCAGTGCTGAGTAGTTTAACAGTATTTCTATCAGAATTGCCTTCCCGAAAAAGGCACTAGGAACACAAAGAAGCGTGGTGCTAGAATGGCGCTTTCCTTTAAGTGAGCGAGTGGAGCGTAGTTCTGGAAGTAAATTGAAGTAATGGAATTTGAAAAAACCGCTCTATCACCAATGTGTGAAATGTTTTACGACTTACACTGGATTCATGAACTGTTCAATGGTCGAAAAACAGAACGTTGACCGATGTTTCATAGATTCGACGGAGCACCTTAGCATTAAGCAGCGCCAAATGTCGGCTGAAATGGCGAACGGTCGTTTCTCCCACTCTTCTCGATCTCTCTACAAGAAAGAAGCATCGTTAACGTTAGAGACAAAGCTGCACATCTATGATGTCTTGATGATGCAATAACTTAGTTTGTCAATAATGTATTCTAAGTAGTAATTTCTGAAAGAAAAGGAGAATTCAGGGCGGGCTCAAGGATTCCATGCGCCCAATAAATAATCTTGGTTCGAACTAAGCACACCTTTAAAGGATTCTCGATTTCTATGTACTTGGATTTCGACTTTATGAATTCAAATCCATTCATAACTCCTATTTTATTGGATAGGCTTCCATCTTTCTCCGTAAGATATGTAACTTCTTTGGACACCAATTATCGTTGTCTTCGATAGTTAAGGGTTTTAATGAATCTACTACTTCCGTGTTCAGTTTTTCTCATCTTTTCCAGTTTTTTCTTCGTTATCGTGGAAATGAAGATTATGTTTTTGTATGTTGAAAACTAAACTAAACTTTAAAACCTCTCAATGGTTTACCGCCTCATCGTGCCTGGGAGCTGTTCCTGGGTGTCGGGCTGCGTTGTACAGCCGGGAGATTCATCCCAGACTTTGGCCTGGCTGGCCCCTGGATTCCAAGGAGCCACAATGACTAAACCAGCAAAACCCGAAAAAAGTGGAGGATATGCTGGGACCAGCACAAGCAGTTAGGACGGGCCATCCAAGTATGTTGAAAACAACAAAGTAGTTATTGATTGCTTCCGTAATCGTTTTTTTGAAGAAATCGTTATACGACTGTCTCTAGGTAGCTAATTTGTTGTCTTTTTAATAAAATGACATTTATTTATGAATGTTGAGGGATTGAAACGGTTAAAACTTAAAAGCCAATTTTGGAAACTGTCGTCAGACCCAGGATGTATCAGTCCACTCAAACATCTTCCTATCAGTCATGTGGTCAATTGGACCATCGGCTCTAATGAAGACGAAGACGTCGAAACGTTAGCCGGAAATAAGTATGTTTATCAACCACGTGTGAGCTTATCAAAGGAAGAATGCATATTGATTAGACATACCGAGGTTAAAGGAAAGTCGGTTTTGAAATACAGTCATGTGGTCAAGTTTTTCAACCATTCCATCTTTCCGTTTGAAATCCGTCCGATGGCGGAAGTCCGATGAAGCGGAACGGACGAGATGAAGTGAAACTTCGATGAGGTCAACGACTGGACCGACCAATTGTCCAGATTGCAAATATACACACCTATGGGTTACGACCGACTGGCCGCTTGAAAATTGATGCCGGTAATTTCTGATTCCCAATAAGGCATTCTAATAATCAAATCGGCAATTCGAATACCTAAAAATCGATAACTTTCAATTTTTCCAGTAGTTTTCTCAAATCTATTTTTAAAATTTCTTCATGCCTCAGTAGAGATATCGTTTCTCTATAGCTACGCAAACCTCGATACCTGAGCTCCACCTTTTTGAAGCTTTAATCTTTGCGAATATGTAAATTTATAAAAGTGTTAATAAAATAATTGACCTGATACGTTCTTCAAACACATGTAGCGCAATGCGCAATGGTTAGGGGTGTTCTGCAACACACACATGGTTATTGGTGCGACCCCACACCCAGTTCTCGAGTCCTTCCGGAGTCAACAACTGATTTGATACATCGCTAGGATCCAGAAGTCGTCTTTAGGCCAAATATCCATTCGATCACTTCTACAATGACACGAATGGAGTCGAATGCACGGGGTGTTCCTAAGGTATTGATCAAGGCCGCAGTCTTTTTATCCTTACGCTTTAATGCGTTATTTTAATTTGTTATTATCTTAAAATCGATACCATAGTAACAATTGTGAGCCAGTAACAATCCGTACGGAAGTGACAGTACAACGTCGATCAAGCTTTGTAAGAGAACCGGTTACTTTGTTGGCATTCCACTCCTTTATTACTCCTTTTTTTGATCATTTAAATATGTTGTTTTTTGGATAACGTGGCAGCTCTCTATATTCTTTTTTAGGTGTTGTTTTACTTCCTTATTTACACACAGGCTGACGTTTCGGCGGATTTCGCCTTCCTCAGAGCCTAGAAGGGTCAAGTTGACCCCAATCTACCCAGCCAAAGAAGCCAAACACCTCCATAACCAAACAGAGAAAATGCTAAATGAAAATATCAATCACACAGAGTCTTTGCACACTCACCGCTTTCTGTGAGTCTTCCACTGAATATGTCACGTGGAGACCAACAGCACAGAGTTCACATGGAAGCGCAATGTGCCCCTGAAAAAATGTGGCAACTGTTATGCGGTGGAAGTCAGAAAGTTACTTTGAACGATTCATTCTAGTTTTCGTCCTGGCTGTCTGATCCATTCTGATTTCCGGACTACTTTTTAAGGCTAACTACTTATCGTTTTAGTCCCTTATTAACATTAAATTTCTTCTCATTTGCTCAACGATTTCTGTACATTGTATTGAATGGAATGAGTGTTGCTTAGTGGTTAGAGATGCCGTTGAATACACACATGGTCGCATGTTCGATCTCTTATACTGACTAAGCAGGTACGCCATTCCTCGTGCTTTTAAGAAAGAAGTTCGTCGAAATTTCTACATTACTGAACAGAGCACATGGAAATGTATCGGGTATTTGAGAAAGACTGAGATAATTCCCCGAGGTAAGTGAAGGCTCTCCATTACGATATGCTGATGTAATGTATCAGAGAGATCGGTAATTTGGTGAACGAGTTTTCTGGTATGACAAAGTACTGAGCCGATGAATTGGTCGGTCCCCGCAGATTATTTTATGAGTCAATTGTGCATTTAGTCATCTCCTCAAGACTACGAATGCTGGCCAATGCACGGTGGATCCCACCCCTAAAGAAATGGTCTGTGCCAAACGTGTTAAGCCTTTTTAATCCGGTAGTAAGTGTATAAATGGAGTAAGTAAAGCTGTATGACTCGATTATCTACGCATTTTCGTTTCGATTCGATGAAAATTAGCCAATTACGTGCGCCCTGGACTCGTGTGCTGATTGGCCGGCCGACGGCGTTTCAGAGATGGCGCAGCCGGTTTTGAGGTATAACGTTCGCTGTCGTCGTGAATCAGTTGCTACATCCATTGACGGCTTCCATGACATATGTGCGTCGAAGCCGCGAGGTTTTCCAGTTCTATGAACGACGTTCATTTCGCATAACGGTTATCAGGATAAACACAGTGACACTTCAAGTAAATCGAAACAGTTTTTACACGATAATAATGGACATTGCGTTAACTACATCGCAGTACTTTTTTTTTGAAAGTGTTTCTATGATTGCGGCAGTTGTTTTTTCACAGTTCACAGCAACATCGTGACCCTATCGTCGTCAGAAGGACGCATCCAACCCAATTCACTAATAACCGGTCATAACGAAAAATTCGGGTTCTTTGTAGTTGAGTGATCCTCAATTGGTATCACACTCAGCGCTATAGCTACCTCTATTGAATACACTTTTATAGGAACTATAGTTGCTAGAAATATGGCTTTAATATTCGTATTTTTCCTTGTTTTCAGTTGTTTATTAAGTTATTCATTTCTTAAAGGTACATTCTGTTCTACAGTGGAGGTAAAACAACTTAAGTGGATCAGGGAAACATTTTGCTATGTTGGAAAGTTTACTATATAAAAAGAAACGCTTGGAAAAAAATATATCATGGACCGAAATTTTTTTATTTCATTTTATATGACCCGTCTTTGCGGATCCAAAGGCTTCTCACATTCGATCCGTTTCCTCGCATCCATCGTCGACGAAGGTCTTCCTAGTTTTTACGTATGGGTTCCGTTGCTGCTTGAGCATCTTCATTTCATCTTGGATGTCGTGGAATGCAAGTCATGTCGATTCTCCCTGGAGTTCTGAAATAGCCGGGCTGGAGCACTGCCATCTAGATTGCAGAGAGTGGTTTTTTCACGGACAAGTCCGTTACCAAATTCCCGACCCCGGAGGGATGAGAGGCTTGGTTGACCCGGAGCGGAATTGGACTACCACCAAGCTGGAATAACCGACATCACCTACCATCATACCTCACTATACGCCCCATCATGGACCAAAATTGCAAAAATCAGTGGCGAATATACTTTGGTATATTTGGTCCGTAGAGTGATGGAGGAAGTGGTGAAAATATTCAGGAAAAGAAGACTAGTGAAGGTTACGTGTCTCCTTCCTTCTCAAAATTCTTTAAATAACTGGAAGTTATTAGTCCTTGTTGTTTCTAAAATTTTCTTTGCTTTCAACGTTTGTTATCGTGAAAATAGTTTCTAAATTAATGAAGAAGTGCTGTTAACTAGTTGTTTTAATATTTTTGGCAATTGAATAATTTAACGGATTCCTTTAGTCTTTGTGAATTCATGTTGGTTGGGACTGAGTGCTAAAAATCACCTAGGATAAACCAAATGAGTTTCTATGAATAGTGCTAAGATACGCTATCACCTAGACTAGTTGGTCACGTGTCGTCATCACTTATGGCCTGCCCTTATACTGTTACGGTATATACGGCAAGTCTATTCAAATTCGAAAGGTCAGTCTGGCTAAGTGAGGATTATATTCGTAATCGTTCATCGATTGACCATCAATCGACGACAGGGGAGATATATTGCGTAATGATCGCGACAGGATAAGAAATAAAATTGCGAACTATAGTATTTACATAAAATGATTCTAACACTCACCCAAAGTAATCAGCATCAGCTAGTGTGGAATCAACCAGTGAGAGAGAAGGTTTTGAAAGGTCGACAGGAACTCAGCAACAAGGGATGAATTAATGTGAAACGCATTCCCTTCATTCATAAATAAGGACAACACTTTCGACGTTGTTCTATCACTTAGCGATGCGCTATGCATTGGATTCCATTTGTTGCTTGCTAGTCTGGTACTAATTTTCCAGCCCCAAGGGAATGGAAGCCTGATGCCCGGGATTGAGCCAAGGACCATGTCCGTCGCAGATCACCATGGGGCTACAAGATGCGCTCCTACATACGAACTAGATTTCGTTTAGACGATTTTGCTTTAGCTACGTTGACTTACTACAATATCATTTCTATCGCATACCATTCCTTTAGTTATCAATTAACTCAGACAGGCATCTGTACAAACGGTTTAGTAC